GTCTGGGCTGTAGAAAAGTGGCAAACATACCTTGAAGGCCGACCCTTCGAAGTAGTCACTGACCATGCTGCCCTGACATGGGCCTTCCAACACCCAAGGCCATATTATCCAGAACTCAAAGTCAAAATGCTCTGCCTGATACAATCTTCGCCGTCATTGTAAACGCTTCCAAGATCGCTGCATCACAAGTCAACATGCTTGTAGACTAGGGCTGCACGATAAATCGCATGCAATATTTAACGCGCATCTTGTCAGTAAAGCTGGTATGAGCGCAAAATATGATCGTGGTTTTGCGCAGCTTGTCGGTGAACAACGGCTCTGTGTAGTTAATGATGCTCCATGTGAAAGCCCGCAGGTGATGGAGATTTACCGCTGATTAAAGAACCGGCTTTACTGACAAGATGCGCGTTAAATATCGCATGCGATTTATCGTGCAGCCCTACTGTAGACTCAGACAATCAGACAGAATCAGACAATGCCGGATGCTTCACGAATTCAGTACATTGTGAAACATGATTTCTTGTTTTGCAGTGTGCCTGAGGGTCAGAAAGGACAGAAACTCCAACTGGTAATTCCATCTATTCATTGAGAAGCATTTTTGCAAAATGCCCATGACAACCCACTCAGCGGGCATCTGGGAAAATGAAAAACTCTTCTCAGACTTCTAGACACAGTATACTGGCCTAACATAAGAACTGATGTGTGGAGACACTGTAGAGAATGTCACATTTGTCAAAAGTACAAACCCTCACTGACAAAGTTGTCTGGCCATTTGCAGAGTACTCCTGTTGTCAAACCTGGTTACATGATAGGTGTTGACCTCATGGGTCCTTTCCCCAAAAGTGCTAAACAGAACGAACATAATCTTGTTACTGTCGATAACTGCTCCAAATGGGTGGAAATGTTTTTTTACTTTGAGAAAAGACAAAGCACCTCAAATAGCCAGAACACTCAACATTAACAAGCACATTATCTCACATTTCTAACTCTTTGAATATATATTAACTAATGATCCATTAAGCATTATATAATGTTTGTTAATGATTTATTAATGAAAGTTATTATAAAGTGTTACCATCATTTGAAACTGCAAAGGGTCTACTTTTATTTGTGTATAGTCATAATAACAACAAAACAATGTAATTTTGTAAAATAAAGAAAATAAACAGGGTTCGCTCTGTGCCGTCTCGGTCTCTGTCACCTCTATTCACAGACACGTAAATAAAACAACCTAAATCTCAGCGAATACTTGCCTCAAAGACATGAAAAATATATGTATAGAAAGCTTGAAATGTCTACTTTTAAATGAAGTAAGTCATGTCCAAAACAAATATTCTCTGCTAAAGTAATCCATATGAAACCAACGCAAGATCCAGTTTTCCCCTCTCAACTCATTATCTCTAATGCGATCATGCCCACAAGCCGATCACGATTTTCAAATTCTAAACATCCATGTGAGACGTGCGCGCATTTAAACGCCCACATTGCCACCGCGTAAACAAACAAGTTCATCCCGGCTACTTTTTGTTTCTGGAAGAAGACGTGCTGAGAGGAATAACCCAGAATTTACCTCAGAAAAAGAACACAACGCGATGCGTCGCGCAGCTAGATCCAGTGGAGAATATCATTCTGAGTAGCCTAAGATTACATGCATCTGTTGTTATTGTGTTATTGTTACATAACTTGTTCACATTTTACTAGTTAGACTTTATCCCAAACTATAATTCCTGACTACATGCATGAAATCAAGTGAAACATTTTGAAATATGTGTCATTTCATTGTTTAAATGTCTCACAACGCCATGATGTGTTTAATGTTTTATAACATATAAAACCACAAGATAAAAGTATTGTTAACACTATGATATTAGAATGAATGTTTGGCACAAAGGTGTGTTACTGTTCAAGTCTCAGTGTTCAGATCAGTATGTTCAATCATGTGTCCTTGACGGTGTATATTTTTATTATACTGTGTTGTAAATAAAATCCAAATAATAATCAAAAACCTACATTATTTTACTCTCCTCAAACTCTTTCTTACCTGCCTCAGTCACATTCATATTGATGGCCCATTATGGGAGGCCCTTTGTCTCTCAGGTGTGAATCACTAAATATTCATGGGCATTGTCACTCCCTTGCATAAGGGCATTGTATCACAAAACATGTTTTACAAATGGTAAATTAACATATTGTTTTCTGTGAACGAGTGAACATGATAATTCTTCACATCATTTTGTAGCAAAAACTCTAGTCTACCACTATTATCAAACATTGTCACTCCCTTGCATAAGGGCATTGTATCACAAAACATGTTTTACAAATGGTAAATTAACATATTGTTTTCTGTGAACGAGTGAACATAATTCTTCACATCATTTTGTAGCAAAAACTCTAGTCTACCACTAGACCAAAAGTCTTGTGAACAAATATTCTGTATGTGTTTTATGGCCTTATTTCAGTGACTTAAAAGATTTAGTTTTTCACTAACCACACATAAACATTGTTTTCTCAAAAACACAAACATGTACTTTCATGCTGCTCACAAATTATTGTAGCCCAGTTTGTGTTGAATACAGTGTTATCAGACTTTAAGTATTTAAGATACTGAAAAAAACACAAATGTCAGGGCATGCCAAAACTTCTCCAGGGCCCCAAAACACCCTTAGACCCCAGAGGGTTAAACACAGGTGTAATATAAGAGGGAAGGTATTGTTTGGTTAGAAGGAAGCATGGCCTTCTCCTTGTGCTACCCTTCAATACAATTTAGAACTCTTTTTAAAGGTGCAATAGGTGATTGTCTTCAGAAACATTTTTTGTTATGCTGGTTGAAAGTCTCTTCACATCCCGATAGCAATCATTAAGTTAAGTGGTCTAAATGTATTTATCTGTATTTATATATTCTGTGGAAGGCGTAGGACCAAGAAATGTTCGTCCAATCAAAACGCTCGGTCCGAGCGTTTTAATTGGCTTTCCTACCTGCCTGTCAACGTATGTATTAGCATACCTCTGTGCACCCGGTTTGCGCAGACAGGATACGTCATCAGCGCGTTCACGCACGCTGTGCAGAGCGAGAATGGCAGGCAAACATCAATAACCCAAACTTCCTTCCTGGTATTGTAGTACTTTTAAAGTTTTCTCACCGGTGAATGACACATGTAACCCAGCGGTTCCCAATACCAGTCCTCGCGCTCTGCATATTTTGCATGTCTCGCTTAGTTAACACACCCGATTCAGATAACCAGCTCGTTAGAAGTGAGCTACATGCATGAACTGTGTTCCGATCGATATGATCCCTACACAGTGTTCATTGCTCCCTACTTCCTGAGGGGAAATCCGTTGAAGTTTACAGGGGAAATCCGTTGAAGTTTACAGGGGAACCCCGTTGAAGTTTACAGGGGAACCGCTGATGTAGCCTATTGTAGTAATGTTGTCTCTGGTATTCTGGGCCCGTATTCACAAAACATTTTATCTTACCACTAAGAGTTCTCCTAAATAGCAGTAAAAGTTTTTAGCTAAGAGTTTTCTCTTAAAACCTATTCACAAAGCTGCTGAGACAAACTTTTACTAAGGAATAGAGAGAAGTCTTAAGCTAAGAGTAAGGGCGGGGTTGACCTTGTTGCTATGGATGATGTCAGCATACTTACTAACTATGCACACAGTGATTGGCTGATAGGGGAGGGGTCTCTGTCAGAGATTTATTCATAGAAATATTGTAGAGCACAATATTATGTTGCCATATTCAAATAAAGGTTTAAAAATAAAAGTTAATTGCCACCTTCAAATAAAGATTTTAAAATGCAGGCTAAGTTTCATATGGATTACATAATCTGAGAATATTTGTTTTCTATTTGAACTTTTTTAATTTAAAAGTTTCACTCTCTATAGATATATTTTTCATGTCTGTAATTAGGCAAGCATACATGGAGTTTCAAAGTGACGCGCTCAAGTTCACAGAGTCCGAGACGGCAGAAAGTGCATCCTGTTTGCTTTCATTATTTTACAAAAGCGCAACGTTTTGTTGTTATTCTTAGTGCACACGAATAAACGTAGAGTCTTTACAGATACAAAAGATATATTACTCTTATTGGTATGACCAAAAATGACGGAGTATTTTAAGAGCCAATGATCGCACCGGCGCCTCCATCTGTAGCCCAAGCGCGCTGCTGTTCAGCTTCCAAACTCCGCACAAACACGTGAACTGCGCACTTTTTTTCTAGGCTAATATTAGATTGAGCTGCCATGTAAAGTTGCTACTACATACATATTTCAGATGATAAGACATATTTGAGGTCGATGAATGTAAGGTGAGCATATGGATGTCCTGCCCAATGTACTGTATTACCACAAAGACCAGCCGTTAACGATTTGTCTGTCACGGACTGCTCATTATGGTCATAGAAATGTTTCTAAAATGATAATATTCTGAGGCAGATTGCTGGCAACAGCCATTTTAGGATAGTTCGCTACTTTTAGCCTTAAGATGTTTTGTGAATTCGAGCCCTGATCTGTAAGCGTATATGGGTTCAGGGGGCGTGGCTTTGGACGTCTATCAGGCTAAAGTTAGCATTTTAGTTAGCATTAATATTAGTAGATTTATTTCTGCTAATATACTTATTGAGTGGATATTGGAAGAAAAAATTCCACTTTTGAGACATTTCATCAGAATCCTATAGTGGATTTTTGGGATTGATCACTCAAAGTCTAAAGCGTTTGTCTGGAAGCATCTGGTGGATGGTTATTGTTTGGACTATCGTTTGTCTAGGTTTTGTTGAACAACGTGTCTGTGCTGGCCTGACAAATTTTGATTGTTTCACCAAACAGCAAATTGAAAACGTTTCAAGATCATGTATAACAGAGCAAGTAAATACTGCATTTGAGACTTTGTGTACTTTTGCAAAGAAAAACAAAACAAAAATTGATCAGGAGAAAAACTAAATAAATAAAACGACTCCACAGTTGTCAGTTACACAGAATGCAAAACACATATGAAGGACACTCACATCAGGTGGAATACGTGCCCCATCCTTCACGGTGTTGCCTTCCACAGTGATGTGATAGACCTGTCCATCTGTGTCAGTAAACACAAAGTGTTCTCGAGCTGATATGCCCTGACTCATTTCAGATTTACTCTCAGCATCCTGCAACAGACTGGCAGACAGACAACAACAGAGAGTATTGTTAAGAGTTCATATTGAAACAGCAAACCACTTAGATTAGAGCATTTAAAGTGCAGTAACAAAGTACCAATTTACCAATGATTAGTGAATCAATTCTAGAAACTTGTGCTATAAATGCTATAAACCTATTCTTCCATGGAACACAAAATGAGAAATGGTGAAGAATGTACTGTCCACCATTTTCTATACAAGAACATTGGAAACTTTTACTGTAGAACTCTGAAATGGCAAAAAACACAATACGTTTAATAAAAGTAGCCCATCCAACCTGTGTGCTAAATTTCTTATTGTGCTCTAAAATCATGTTGGAAGTTTTTTTTTGTAACAAACAGACTACAATTTAAGTTATGTGTTGAAAGTCTTCACTTCCGCTGCAATCTAATTCATTCTTCATTCATTCAGCATCTTCATGCACCAAGTTTAAATGTGCATAAGCAAAAAGAACATTTAAGCTGAAGCAGAGAGGAAGATTTAAATTAAATTTAACTTTAAATAACTTAAATTTCAGCATTGAGCCCATAAATAGACTTATTAATTATCAATCTCTCTGTACTTCAGAAGATTTGGAATGTAATTTAGGAGTTGTATATAATAAGTTTATGCTGCTTTAATGTAGATTTTGGAGATCTGATCATAATTTTTTTCATTATTCACTAAATCTCTTTTTGTGTTCTCCAGAAGAATGAACAACAAGAAGATCAGTAAATGATGACAGCTATCATTTTTGGGCATTCAGACCTGATAACAGAGGACTCTACACTGCTCTGTTCAGCATCAGCGAGGGTGGTCTGTCTGGCCATGGCCTCTCGTGCAGCTAGATGCTTTTTCTTCAGACTTTTAAGGTTATGCGAAGGAGACCACTCCTGTTTACACAAATAAATGTTATCATGAATCACACTGAAACATACATAACATCCTGGTTACTACTGACTATAGACATTGTGTCAATGTACTGACACTAGGTACTTGGAAGCCCCAAACACCTGTGATACTTCAAAAAAAAAAAAAAAAAAGCCATTAAAAACTGGCGAGTGGAATTTGCATGTGCCACTTCCCCATACATACAGGTATAAAAGGAAATGGCAAGAATCTACTCATTCAGGTTTCTGCGGAGGAGCCAAAAGCATTTTACCTACAGGGCTACCTGCAGGAAAACCATACCGTGGACAATACATCATATGAAATTAACAATAGGCAATTAAAAAAAACAAACAAACAAACAAACAAAAAAAAATAAACATGAAGCACCTAGCCCAAGTACACAGGCTCGCATTATGAGTACTCGGCCTGGCCTTGAATTCCTCCACTGAATTCGACAGCAGCAGGGTATCAGAGGATATGTGGACAGAAAACGTACCTAACACATGGAACAAAACTGGTTCAACCTGGAAATTATAGAATCTTGCAGAGGTAGTGGGTGTTGGTTAGCCTGCTGCTCTACAGATGTTTGCTAGAGAGGCGTCGTTTGCTAGAGCTTAGAAAGATGTGACTCCCTGTGGAGTGTGCTCGGTCTCCAAAGGAGCATAGCACACCTTGGGTCTGGTATGCCAAGGCAATGGCATCCACAATCCAGTGGGCCATCCTCTGTTTAAAAAGAGCCTTCCCCTTCTGCTTTCCAACTAAAGCAGAAGAAGAGCTTCTCAGAGTGCCTGAAGCTCTTAGTGCAGTCCAAATAGATGCGCAAGGCACATACTGGAACGTCAAGGTTGGGTCACCACTTGGTCCCTAAAAGGGGTAGTGGGAACTTTGGTATCAGGATCATGTAAGAATACGCCAGACTGAACTCTAGGAATGTTGCACTGACAGAGAACACCTGCAGGTTCCCAACCCTCTTGATGGACAACAGTGTGGCCAGGAGGTCCGTCTTCAAAGAGATGGCACTTAGCTAGACTGACTCCAGGGGCTAAAAAGGAGCTCTCTGTAGGCTCAGCAAGACTACAGAGAGATCCCAAGAAGGTCTTGGAGGGTTAAACCTTTTGGAGCCTCTGAGAAACCTGATGATCAGTTCGTGCTCCCCTTACCGTCCACTTCATTGTGATGCGGCCACATATACCTTCAATGATGTGAGTGCCCTACAGTGAATTAAGTTGCTGCTGACTCCAAAGGGGGAGTCAGTCAAAATGCGACTTGACACTTGTTCTAGCAGGACCCCTGCCCATAGAAATGCTAGGTCCATCCAAGGGCTGAATGACATATGGTGACATATCGGTGTGATAGCCACACATTGCATGCCACAAAGCCATGGCCATCTCGGGACTCGAGTCTGAAGCCAGTGCTGAAACGCTCTCATATGCATCAATCCAAGCAGTGATACTGCCACCGAGGAGGCCATAGGCCCCAGGAGCCTCTGAAATTGTTTCAGTGGGACTGCAGCTGATCCCGGGCAGGCACCTGGCAAACTAAGTTGTGTAACTGAGTCTGACTGTCCTGGTTGATGACTAGCGCTAACTGGTTGGGCAGTGCTTACCAGGCCCCCAAAGTCCATATGAGTGGACAATCATTTTTGACGTATCTGCGGTAGGATGCCATTGGCCGTCAAGTCGGGAAGCACTGTGTCCTGACCCTGTGACTGTGATTATTCAAAAAATAAATAAAATAAAATAAAAAATTGGTCATTATGGTGCATTTTTTTCCTAAGCTCCCATTCATTTCCAACAGTGGTATTCACCTATTGTTTATGTTAGTGTTCTTATTATTAGAGGCCAAGCACAAAGTGCTGGAACCCTATTGTTTTTGTATGACTTCATTATTCGGGATCCAAGCACCAAAGGTGCTAAACCCCTAATGTATTTGTTCTGATTCCCGATTTCCAGCAGAGGCTGTACTTCCTTCACGAGCTGTCCAGGACAGGTTGTACTTGTACTTCCTTCACCAACTGAGGAAGTTCAATCTGCCACAGGAGCTGCTTACCCAGTTCTACTAGTCTGCCCAATGTACTTCGATAACTGTCTGGTTTGGTTCAACACTACAGTGGACAGTCCAGACTGCTGAGAAAATTATTGGTGCCCCCTGCCCAACCTCCAGGACCTGTACTTTTTGAGGAAGGAGGCAGGTAGAATCTTCACAGACTCCACTGACCCTGGCCATGCCAGTTCCAGTCAATTTAATAACTGTTTTATAGCAATGCACAGCCTTCATTGAAGCACACGTACACGCATCACTTGAACATAGAGACTTCCAATTTTCCTATGTGCTAACTAGATTTTGCTGTGCTTCAAAAGCATTTCAAATGCTGTAATTTCTAGTCGCTAACACATATTTTACCCATAGTTCAAAACAATGTAATATTTTAAGAACAAACACTATAAGCAACATGGCACATTGTGAGTTTGATACAGTACCAGGGCAGTGACAGTAGGGAAGTTCTTGGCCATCTCACGCAGCAGGGTTCCTGTGCGGACATCCCAGAGTTCCAGAGGTTTATCTCTGAACACCACCACCAGGTACTGCCTAAAGAAGACCCATGTACACATACATTTATTTTGTTCTCAGAAGCATACCTGAAATTTTCTTTAGATCAAAAAGTGTTTCCTACGTTAAAAGTAACCTTAGTACCCTTATGCCATGGTCTGTCTGAATATTAGATACTGACTAGGAGGAAAGTGTGTGTTAAACCATTTAATGTACAGGTAGTTCCAGTCAATTTAATCACTGTTTTATATTAATGCACAGACTTCATTGAAGCACATGCACACACATCACTTGCACATAGAGATCACAGAAATATCCAGGAGCACAGAAAAATATTGTCAATGCAACGCTTTTATTAAAAAAAATAGCTTAGTTACTACAGGTAATTCTCTCTCTCTCTCTCACACACACACACACACACACACACGTTTATTTCACTAGACAAGAAGACATCCGCAGTAGTGGGGGGTCCCCAGGACATACATATATCTCGAAACTGTTCAGAAGGCAGATAGAATCTTATAATTCCAAGGTGACGATATATCTTGCAGGACATATATCTTACTTATGTCTTATTTGTTTGATTGACTGAATAGTTTCAAACGGCAGTTTTGGAAAGTGATAGTTTTGAAACAATGAGAAAAAAAATAAAAATAAAATAAAATCGCCATTGCAAGGTTAAACAATCACTCAGGATTTCCCATAGTTAAAGTAGTGCAATGAAAGAAAAGAGAGGAAGTACAGGACTGGTTAAAGTGCACAACCTAGACACCGTTCAGGAAATAATGAATGAAAGTAGTTTGTGTGTGTCTGTATTTGTCACCACAAAATGCATCACTGTTTAGGGAAACCAAAAGGACTAAAGTGTTTAAGTGCTCACTGAGGTGTTTGCAACTGAAAAACATCTGTTACTCACTTCAGATGTGACACTTTAATCATTTCAATGGCTGGTTCATCGTTCCCACGCTCACCTCGAAATGCAAAGCACCGCCCTGAAAGAGAAAGCACAACATATTCATTTTGTAATAAATAAATTAATAAATTAATGGATGAATGAATAAACAATCAACAAAACTAAAAGGTACTCTCAAATATATAATAAAACATACAAATTATGGGCCTGCTTAAAATTATTAGTTTGATATGGATTTAGGCCCTGTGTCCACCAAAATATTTTAAACCAGCTGAAAATGCTAGGTGCGCCTTTGAAAATCCAAACTTGGAGGCACAATGACCCATGGTTAACAATGTTCATCCAAAGCTTTTTTTATTTATTTATTTTTTTAATTGTATTTATTTGTTGTTGTTTTTTATTAATAATGTGGATACTTGGAGAACAGCAGACTTCTCCTCCACTGTTGTTCAGTCGTTGCACATGTAGGGTGTGACGGTTAGTCAGTGTGGTATTTGTCCCACTGTACTATGTTTTTACCAAAAGAAATAGATGCTCAGCACATTGGTGAGCAACAGTTTCAAAGGGATAGGTTCATGTACAATAACAAACACACCCTGGCCATCCTGGCTTTCTCTCTCTCTCTCTTTTTTTAAACTTTTGTTCTTTTTTTTTTTTTTATTAAATCATAGGAACAAATAAATACGGTGCTCTCACGTTTGAACTAATATGAAGAAACAATTTAATATAAAGCGATCAACAGTTTCTTGTTCATGGACATTATGTATTTTTACATGGCGTGTAGTGCTCTGTGTCAAAAAAATGATGAATAACAAATAAATACATGCATGACCTGTTGAAATGCATCAGCGAATTATTAAATATACAGGTGCATCTCAATAAATTAGAATGTCATGGAAAAGAGTTTAAGAAGCGGTCTTTTACTTTACTTAAGCGTGAAAACCATAAATATTCGCGTCATTTTTAATTTAATTTTGTAGTCCGTATGAAAAGGTGCATTTCTATTAAAGGCACGTCCATGTGGAGATGGCGAGTCAGTGCACCAGATTTATGAATTTAACTTTAAAATGTACAAGATTTTCTTACGGGGGAGCATGCCCCCGGACCCCCCTAGAGGGATCGAGGACCATCCACCACAGTCTCACAAAATCCTGTGGGAAACACTGATATATATATATATATATATATATATATACACACACACACACACACACACACACACATATCTTGCTACGTGTACTGCGTTAGACTAACCGATACTTGTCATTTGCACTTATATATTGTTGCTCTTTTGTTAGTTTTGACTGCTTTTATTGTCCTCATTTGTAAGTTGCTTTGGATAAAAGCGTCTGCTAAATGACTAAATGTAAATGTAAATGAAACAGACTGAATCAAAACTACCTCAACTCACTAGTACTGTACTTAAAATTTACAATACTTAAAACTTAATATTTCTTTGTTAAAATTTTGTTTACACAAACATTTTTACATTTTAATTTGTACTAAACATGCTAGATATTTAAAAATGTTTGAATTCTTCATTATTATTCTTTATAGTTAGGAATGCAACCTCCCTGAAATGGTTTTTGCTGGGTGGGATGTCTGAAACACGTCATTCTGTACTTTTGTGCAAAGTTCATGGCGGTGGTCAAAATCAGTGAATCTGATCACCACCAGGCAGGCAAAAATTAACTTCAAGAATGGTCATAGCGGCATCGATGTGTTTGAAGGTATATGATAAATGGTTCAAACAGAAATATTAAAACAGGTGATGTATATTAAGCTATGCAATTTCAAGATGTCAAACAACAAAATAAATTGTTCTGTTACCATACAAAACGGATCGTTTCTGACAGGACCTAGGGCTGGATCTGAAATTTTTGGCATGGAGGCATGATCTAACATAATAAAATCAGTACATGCCCACCTACATGCAGCATCTTATGTAATAAGACAAGTAATGATAGTACTTTTAAAACTATATACCGAAAATTAAGCTATCAAACAAGTAAAAGCAGTTACCATGCTGAAACAGACTGTTGCAATCATTGTGGTTGTGTTGTTTCAATTTCTTCTGCCTCAGGCTCTAACATATACAGCTCTATCACAGCGCTTGCCATTTTGAGTATCAAAACACAACGTACTGTGAAGGAGGGCTATGTGGATACTATATGAGTAGGGCTCTGTAGCGTGGCAGGACTTAGAGCACCCTCTGGTGTCATAGCTGGGCACCACCGCTGTGGCATACACTCATAGAAAACAATATGCTCAAATTTGAGGACAATTCGTGTTATGCACCAGACCCCTTTAATAATCTCCACAAATCAAATATTACATTACAGTTGTGTATAGTCGTTTAACACTTTTAAAAGTCATTGGGCCATTATGAGCCATTTATTGATTTTGTAACTATAGTAACTGCTTCTCCATTTGCACTCAAATTTGTTAGAAACATTCTGCATATTGTTTTATTGCATTTAAATATTCAAATGTTCTTTTTGCATGCGTGTATGTACACAGATACATAGATTCATGTATATGCACATAGACCAACTATAAAAAAGCTATATGAAAAGCAGCCAATTACAGTGTCAAACATATTTGGCATATAAGGTTCGACACAATCGGAGTTAATTATTTTATTTTGTTTTATATACACAAGGTGATGAGTTTTGATCAGGTGCCATTCACACCAAGCCACACGTGTGATGTGGGACGATTTAAGGCCTGTTCACAGAATGATAATTAGATAATTATGGTAACTATTAGGGTTGGGCGATGTCTACAAAATTGGCATCGGACGATGTCTACAGTGAAACATCGCGGTGGACGATGACATTGGGGGGCGGGGTGGGGTTAGGGATGTGCCCGAAGCGTGAAACAAATAACGCGTTACACGGAGCCACTAAAAGGTTAACCGCTTGCTAGCGGTAGCCTGTTGCATTACAGTACATGAAAGTTCACTTACCACATACACAGAGTAAGGAAAAATGTCTGATAGGACGATGGCGAATGATTTGCAGATCCTGAGCACCAATGATAAACATCTAATCTTGTCAAATGTGTGGTAAGTAGTACTGCCGCTCCATAGTATAGAGTCCTTTGTGTGATCACGAATCTCAAAAGTGAAAGTGAAAGTAAAATGTGAGCGCGCAATCGAAAGCGGTTTCAATAGCGGCTCAACATCGTGATGTTGTTCTCTCTCTCACGTTCATTAAGTGTTGCACAGAAACATAAAATAGTTAATAAAACACAAAATCATCAAATTTACCTAGACATGAACAAATATGAAAGGTAGATTTGAACAAGATTGCAGCAAGATACTTGTCGACAGTTGTGTAGCATCCATGAATGATGTTCCTCGTTGTCCCATCAGCGAGCAGGTATGGCTGTGTGGACACAAAATCATCAAATTTACCTAGACATGAACAAATATGAAAGGTAGATTTGAACAAGATTGCAGCAAGATACTTGTCGACAGTTGTGTAGCATCCATGAATGATGTTCCTCGTTGTCCCATCAGCGAGCAGGTATGCTGTGTGGTCTCTTCAAGATATTCTTCTTGTTAGTGCCTGCAGATCAAAGACAAAAATAACTCTCAAGGTCAGCTCTCCAATTGATTTTATGTTAGTCTTTCATATACAACACATCTGGCAATATTTTGAGGCAGACAACAGGTAGTGACAGAAATGTCCAAATGTACCTTTTTGAAGATGTTTTTCAGCTTGATAGGAGGACATGTTTCCAGGTCCCTTGCAGCCTTGTGGTGATGGTGGAATCAAATGAAGTAGGAGACAAATTGATGCAATATCGCTGTCCCATTCTAAATAACAGATATGACAACTTCAGCAAAAAATGCATGAACACAGAATACAGATAATGCATGAATATAGATAATCTTATTTCTGAAATATAGTCTAACCTTAAACTTCGGGTTCATCCTCTTTTACAGCTGATCCGAGGGCAATCAGGTCCTTAAAGGTCTTGGGAGAAGTTAGGAACTTGGCTTCTTGGAAGAAAAAAAAAATTAATCACAACAATATCTCTCTCAGGAATCATTCTGCTAAGTTGATTGTGTAGTCACACAGTGGCTCTGTTCACACCTGGCATTAGCATGCATCTTGGGTGATGCACAAGTGAACAGACACAAGACGCATATGGCCACATTCTTTTTTTACAGGGTTAGTTAAAAAATGAAAATTCCATCGTTTGCGCAGCCAAGACTTTCATTATCTTTGAAACAATTGAAGATATTTTAATAGAATATAAGATTTCTGTCCCTTGAATGACGGTCCACGCAACTACCACTTTGATATTTCATAAACTTCATAAAGAGATCTAATCCATAAAGAGAACTAATCCATAAGTATCGTGGTTTAGTCCAAATTTTCTGTTTTTCTGTTTATGTTCCCTGATCAATGTTTAAATGTGAAAAAATACAAATAAAAAAAGTAATCTGTTCATTGTAAAGCGATCGAGTCTCTTCAGAAAATTTGGACTAAACCGCTCGATTCATTTGGATTAGTTTTATGATCTCTTTATGAACTTCTTGAAGTATCAAAGTGGTAGTTGTGTAGATTGTCGATGGAAGGACATTTTCTCATTTAAAATGTCTTCATTTGTGTTTTGAAAATGAATGCAAGTCTTGCAGGTTTGGAATGACAGAGAGTGAGAAATAATGACAATTTTTCATTTTTGGGGTCAACTAACCATTTATCTTTTTGCAGTTTGATATCTTAAATGAATAATTAGTAAATTCCAGGTGTGAACATAAGATGATATTGTGTGCCTGCCCAGTTAAACTT